ATTGGTTTTTCGAGACAGGGTTTCTCTGTGTAGCCCTGGCTGTCCTGGAACTCACTCTGTAGACCAGGCTGGCCTCGAACTCAAAAATCTGCCTGCCTCTGCCTCCCAAGTGCTGGGATTAAAGGCGTGTGCCACCACTGCCCGGCTAGCTAAATCTTTTTTAATCATGTGAATGTATCACCTTCTCGGATATAAAATAGCAATAACTGAAGTTTTTTTCCAAAACAAAAGAACTTAAATGACCAATCACAGAAAAGCACAGACTGAACCATGAGTGCTTCTGAGCTCTCTTCCAACAGCTGCTTTCTTTCCCCCACAACTCCCCAAGCTAAGGCAGAGAGGAGGGAAGCTCTCACCTCCCCTAGCTCCAGAACACCAGTGCAAAGCATGAGATCACTGTCAGGAGAGGCACCCAGATGGCACCTGTTCCATAACAGGGAGCTGCTGTGAGTGACCCAGAGGTGGTCCCATAGCCTGAGGACCACTCCATCCCCCAATTCCTTGGTTTAGTGACACAGTCCTGCCCCTTCAGGTCTAGTGGTGACCTGTAATGGCATCTTTGCTTGTGAGGTAGCCAGACTCTAAATACAGATAGATGTGGTTGACTCTTTAGAGACAAAATTGACAGTGCCTAGCTTTGTTAAATGCCCAATGATTCAGAATTCCACTCACTATTTGCTGTTGCCCCAAAGAAACAAGTTCAAAAACATTCATAGATGTACTGCCTGTGGATGCTTAACAAAAGTGGCTGGAATCAAGATCCAGACAAGTCACTGGTGGAAAAGAGCATACCGTACAAGGACGGAGCAAGGGCATTAACACACAAGGAAAGGCCCAGCACATGTGCAGCATCTACCCATGTGCTTCTAAGGCAGAGCTGGAAAGGAATTGACCCAGCTGAAAATGGTGGCTATTGGGGATCGAGAAAAAGCAAGGAGGGGTTTCAGGAGGGAACCTTAATTTTATCGTTTGACTCTGCCAGGGAGAATATATTTTGTGTAACACACACTTGTTTAATCCTCTGCATTAAAATGTGCAAATGCCTTCCATTCCAATTCCTGGATCTGAGTCAATGACTAAACTGATCCTCCAAAAGATAAGTCTATTCCTGATGAGGAGCCAAGTTCTCTCTCTACTCTGTACTAGGTGTCCTTGGCCTGGAAGAAACAAACGACTTCCTGCTACATCAAATGGCTCAGATAATTTGAGAAGGAAAGAGTCAGAATGTTCCTTGAACTCTACTCAGTACAGAAAATGTGGGCCAGTAGAAAGTCAATTTGTTTGTGACTTTGGTAGGTGACATATCACCACACCACAGCTCTTACCAGCTTCCAAGGACAGCCCACGTGCTGGAAAGTGAGGACCATGTGCTTCTAACTTTGACCTGATGTCTGAGATCCTGTAACAAGCAGTCCCTAGGGACAGGCAATGATTCTAGAGGACTGGGCTGCAGTAAGCAAGTACCTGGCTAGGGAAGAAAAAGAATCCAGTGTTATCTGGGAGCATAGCTGGTCTAAGAGACAGGGAAGAGGGTAGCTGCTAATGCCTAAGCCAGAGGTGGAAGGGAAGTCACTGTGTCTTCTACAGGCCTCTCCTCACTTTGGGATTGGCCTAACTAGAACATCAGGGAATGATGAAATGATAGGAACATACAGAAAAGCTGGGGTTGAGTGAGCCATGTACTCCTACAGACACACCAGGCTGTCCTGAAACTCAGAGTTTACTGTATACAGTTTAAGGGGAAGCCAGGCTAACTTCAGTAGCAGGTCTCTGTAGGGGAGCATCCTCAGAATGCTGTCATCTGGGAGGGGGAAGCGGTGGACACTTTCTGAATACTGTCAGCATCCCTACTCAGGTGAGGGAAAGCCTTGCCATTCCCACAGGACTGAGGCATTGGGGTCCTCGGCCTGGCCATGATCATGCCAACAATACACATTCACTCAGGAATCTATCCGTTCCCCCTCATTGTTCCTTGCTCTTCACCAGCCCACCACATGTGTGCCCCAGTACAACCTTGCTGAGCTACCAATAGAAATGTGGTTCTGTAGCCTGTTGCCTAAGAGTGAGGGTGAGCTGGGTTGGAGTCTGGGGTAATGATACCCATGGTTGTGTAACGCAGCTTCCTTCCAGTTCTTCAGACTTATCTCACCCACATCCTGGTTCCCAAATTGGCAGTGAGGGAGCAAGCCAAGTGATAAGATTTTTCTTCCGAGGAAGTCATAAAGCACTGCTTCACTCATCTAGATAAGCATAGCTATTCCATTACATAATCTTGGAAAGTCAATTCCCTACCAGAAAGTAAGTCTCAAAAGCGTGAAATACTGAAGATGCATCCGCTCCCTGAAAGTACAGACAAGGAGTATCATGGGGAAAGTGAGGAGTGTCCTGGGGTCCCTGGCTGTTCTCCTAGACCAGAGGTCTTACTGTGTCGGAGAACACTACATCTTCAGAGCTATCTAGGTAGGATCTGCCTGAACAAGTGGGGTCCTGTGGAGACTGAGGCAAGATCTGTGAGTGTTGTACAGCCACTTCCCTTCAGGTTCCAAACTTCCTCCCAAATGGAAGCTTGCCCTTTTCCCTCATTCCCTCTGCCTTGCTAAAAACTGTTAGCTTGCATTCCTAAGCCCCCAACGTCCATTCCCTTATTTGGCCACTTCCTCCTTCTGAGGCTGACCACCAAGGTCCAGCTATCAAAGTATTGAAGTCCAGCAATCAAGAACTCCCTTGTGGCTATCCTAATTATCCAATCAAAAGTAGCCAATCCTAACACAAGAGGGAGGGGAGTGCCCTTTACCTTTATAAACTGCTATTTGCCTATGGGCTACAGCTGTCTCCTCCCTATCCAGAG